GACATAATATTGGATTAAGTCAAAGAGTTTAATGAGGGGAAGTAAACACAAAGATTTAGAGTACAGCAACGAAGAACTAGGGGTGACACAACACTCCTGATGTTAGGAGTGCAATTTATCTTTCCCTATGTAGTTCAGGGGCTTTGAGAGGTTAGGTGCATGCTTCTTTCCATTAACTCTCAGTTCCCTGCAAGGTGACAAGCTCAGGCGTACCTTTGGCATGCCTAAAGTAAAGTGGGGAGCATCCCACCTCACATGCTCACTGACTGGCCCCTTATCCTAAGGAAAGAGAAAGACAAGAGAAGCTGACAACATTACTCACACTCTCAGGAAACAGGAGGATCTTTTCTGTTTCCTGTGACACTACTTATTGGAACTGCCCTCTGCTCAGTTCAAGCCTAGAAGAGAACCACAGTTGTCTTCTCTCGGCTTTCTCAGTCAATACATCCCATTCACTATAATCAACATATTTTCAAATTGTACTGAAATTTCATACAAAACATCCCCAGAAGATAAAGGATCCTTAAGAAGAAGGAAAGAGAGAGTGCCAAGACACTATTCTTGCTTAAGATTTGGGGCATGTATTTCCATAAGCTATGTTACTGCCAAAGCTACAGCTTTCCAGATCCTGAGGGTGTGTGGATGTACTACAGTTGAGAGCAGAATTATGCTTAAAAATCTGAAAAACAAACAGGCTTGAGAGTATTCAAGCACAGAGGGCAAGTTGTAGCTTGCTTTTATTGTTATTATTCAATTCAACTCTGCTTGATTAATTTTATGGAACCAAAATACACCAAGAAGGAAGAAGGAGGAATACATTTCCATATAAAATGGGCAAAACTTTATGAAATTAAAGTTATCAAGCTTAAAATATTCCTTGAAGGCATCAATTTGTTTATGTTTATATCGTGGTTTTGGCCGGATTAGCCAATCAGAATGACAGATGGTCCCTCCCCCCACCTTCAAAGAGAGGAGAGGAAGAGCTAAAGAGATTTATGAGTTTAGGAAAAAACTATACTACTTTAACATAATGAACATATTAATAAATAATGAAATAATAAATAATAATAAGAAAATTTTAAAAAGCATACAGTATATACAAAATCGCATCAAGCTCCCAGGATAATGATCATGTCACCAGCAGACACAGGGAAAAGTCCCAGACTGGACTCAGACACGAGCTGGATTCCAGATCTGGAGTCAGGAACGCACGGATCAGGATCAAAGGCAGACAAACAGACAGGGTCCTCCTCGGACATTGGCCACTGAAGAAAGAGACTTGACCCTTTGATCCCTCAACTTTTATACTGAGCATGATGCAGGTGGGATGCAATACCCTGTTGATCAGTTTTGGGTCACCTGTCCTGTCCGCTCCTCCCTACAGGAGGACCCCTCTACACTTTTCCACTTCCAATGCTTCAACTGGACAAATAACAAAGTTACCTGACCTGGGTTGTTACAGCAATAAGTAGCAAGAGCTTCTCTGCACACCATTCCTTGGTCTTATCAGGTCTTATCACTGTGAGAGTGAACAGTTTCTGAACAATATGCTGTTAATTTCAGAGTTTAGTTAGTTAGAAGAGGCCCAGCTAAAAAGTAAAAGTACAGAACAGAAAAATGGTTCTGTTTTACCTCAAACCAGGACAGTTTATTTTTGAGAAATCATTATGCTGGACAGCAGAAGGACAATAGATGTTTTGGAGGAATGAAACCAAAAAAAAGTTTCTTTAAAAAAATAAATAAATGTGGTGCTCCAAAATAATTTATGAGCAATTTTTACATCTTTCTCCAGATAGAAATATTATTACATTTTACTGAAGCTAAGACCTGTACTTGTTCCACAAACAAAATCAATTAGCAGTAAAACTACACAGAAATATTATATTAGAACATAACATATTAGGACAGTGGAAAAATTGAGTCAAACCCTTCTGGTGTGGAATGGACATTATCTGTACCAAGTTCAACAACACAGTAGGGAGTACTTCAGAATTTTCTATGAAGGATGGGGTATTTTGAAGAAATACAGTCTCTTCAGTACAGTAAAAAGAACTGCTTATGTTAGAAATTCTTTTAAAAAGGACCAGCATGAATTTAAGAAGTTATATGTTCATTTTTGCATTATTTGCTCACTGAAAGAATAGCCAGAGATTAAAATAAAAAGTATATATTCCAGAGTTTTCCTCTCTCTCTCAAAACATGTAAGTTTATAGATCTAGACGAGAAGATAATACATTAGGGCAACGAGGGACCACAACTGAGGACTGAATCACCCTTAAAAACAGCCAGCCGTCACGGAAGTCTAAACTACCAATTACTAGCTCTATGCCTGGTCAATAAGGTTACTCACCTTTTTTTCATGTCACAGTCAGAGACAATCATATGCATTTAATCCCCCCATCACAAAACAACATTGTATGAGCAAGAAGAAACACACGTTGTGCATCAGAGACAAGACTGAATCATCCCTGCATCCACAAGGCAGGAAACTTCCAAACTATGGTACTGCTCCACAAGAATGCAGAGCAACTCTGCGCTGCACCTCGCAACCAAGAGGGAGAAAGCTAAGCTGCTTTTAGGATGACGGTGGCGTTCTGAACACTGACTTCTGCAGCAAGGGTCTGTGTGATTTTGATAGCCCTTGGAGCTTGTTTTAGGAACGCTGCTGTGTCATGTCGGAGCACCCAACAGAGTCAGGGCGTCTGTGCCGCCCTGCAGCATCAGTATGAGATTCCCCACTGCTTGTCCAAAAAAGAGCTTTTCCATCTGCTTTCAGGCTATCAGAGTTCAGGCACTCTGCCATCAAGGCCTGCCCCCAACACACTCCCCTCCTAACAGCCTCTTAATGCCCCTTTAGTCCCACTCATGATAAAACAACAAAGAAAAAAATACCAAACAATAAAAAAAATACCAAACTCTTCTTAAAAAGGTACCATACAGTCAGCTAGTTAATTAGACTAACTTTGGCATCACTATAATTATTTGAGTTTTTATTTTTAATATGAAAGATGATAGATTAATAAAGTAAAAAAAGATCAACAAAAAGCATACCCTACATGGTAAGCTCAGTCAGGGCCACATATCTTACTGCTACTCTTCAAATACAGAGCATAAACCTACTGTTTGCAGACATGCAGATCTTTCCTCCACCCAGACTGGCTTATAAGGCATGTACCCAAGGTAACACACTTACTGACAGCAGTCTGTGCAGAAATTTAAAAGAAACAGGAATATAGCTACATATCCCTCTTAAAAGAATATTTCTACATATGCACATGTATACAGTGTAAATATTTAGCTCAACTACTTATTTTCCACTATGCATGAGTAAGAAATGCAGCAGCAGTCTGCTGCAGCTCATCGTTAACAAAAGAAGGTCAAGCTTTTACTATGTGAGATCTTGTGCTCACATTGCAATAGTGTGCTCTGGCATAGTTACCTCCGAAAAAGCAGCAGGACGCAGTATCACCATAAAACTCCTTTGGAAAGCAAGTGGAGAATTTGCTACTCATCTAATCTCTGGATGGTTTTTAGGTAGACAAAACTTGGCCAGATGCTGTAGGTTGGGCTTGGAATCAAGACCTTGCCTTCATGCTTCATGAACAGGACACCCTAGAGCACTGACTCAGTACTGACTTAAAAGAAAAGCACTCACCTACAAGAATTGGCTTAAGTAACAGCTTTTTCCTGTGCCTAGATTTTCAGGGAAGTCTAGCCATATCTGACTGCATTCAGTGCATGGAAAAAGAAAAAAAGCATTGCATCGATCCTGTGTAACTGCACAGTACTTCTTTGAGGTGCCAAAAACAAATAAAATTGGAAAAGACTGTTACATTACTGAATATTTAGTAGTTCTTCTAATAGTCTAGATGTTTCAGAATACTCTGTGATATTTTACCAGCCAGGGAGTACACAAATCACAGTCCACTGAAGTCTGAAGTGATGACCTATTTCTAGTCCTTTACTGTTGCCAATGGGAAGATGCCAGAAGGCAAGAATGAAGGGCAGTACAAAAAGTAAATGGATACTCCTCCTTTCCCCATGATGCCTCCTTCCCTACCACATCTCTGGACTGTTAAGTAAGGGCTAATCACTAGTTTATGTCATATATTCTGCCTAGCACTGGCAGCAGGAACAGAGTAGTAGGGCTCACAACTGTGTTTTACTGCAGTGATGCTGGAACATCACTGAGCCATAAGTTCTGTGTGACACGGTGCCTGAATCTCAAACATCTCTGGTGACCGTTTGTACTGAAATGTACTTTAGTACTGCCGAATCTTGCAAGCCCCTGCTCAAGTATGGCTATAAATACGCTAGCAAACAGGAAAGCCAGTAATATCAGGAATTCTTTTTACACTGCATTTGACATCACAGTGTTTTACTGATGCAATGTTCCCAGATACCTCAAGAATCAAAAAGTTGGAAATGTTCTGCTGCTTTCCTCTCATTTTACACTTTGACTACCAACACATTGGATGTACTGATTTCAAAATGGGGACAATTCCACTGCTTCAATTTGTAAAGAAGGAATTACCCAACCAGCACTATATGTGTTAGTTATTAACTCTGTGGCATCCTGTGTGAAAAGCATCATGCAGAACAAGAGTTTGTTCTAGCAGATTACAAGAAAAAAAAAAAAAAAGATATTGGGAAAATGATACATCAGTACAAGTCAGGGCAAAAAAATCCTGAAGCTTGAAGGTGCCTTCCATCAGAAATTAAATACAGCACAAGGGTCAGTTATACAAAAAAAAGGAAAGGCGGGGCATTACGGAGAAACAGAAGAAAGGAAGAAAAAACCCTCCTTCATTAGAGAAAGAGGAAAGAGAGTATTAATCTCCAAAGTGTTAAATTGAACTTGCTGCAAAATTGATCAGACCTCTCCAGACTCGGAAATACCCTACAGCAATTATTGATCAAGAGCAGTGAATGCGCTACAGACCACGTTTATGTGCCACAAAAAAAAAAAAAAAAAAGACACCCATTTCAGTTCTACTTACCGGTTCCTATTGCTAGAAATCCAATCTGAGATCAACGTTGCAGCCTGCTGGTGACAGTGTTTGTTACCAAAGCTGCAGGCCAACATGATGACTTCCCGACGCAACTCTCTGTCCAAATTAAAGAAAGCAATGAGGCTGCATGTATTTGAATGCTTACAAAAACCAATTTCTTATAACAGTGGCAGCAACTGATAGCTGGGCAACATATCAAATATAATCCGGCTCAGTGTCAACTTAATGCCTACAGCTGCTGCAACAACTAAAGAGAGGTCGTGAACCAAAATCAGCCCCCATTTACACTTACACACTCTTCCTGACCTCTGTTATCACATGAGTCCAAGTTCTTAAATATCCAGTGCAGTCAAATATTAAATCTAGGTTTAGAAAATCATGTTCTCCAAACATGATTAGGAAAGAGGAATTCAGAGCATCTTGCTGCCCTCCCTCTAACCCAGAAAGGAAAAACAGAAGGATAACAGAACTAGGAAAGTATGACATGCTAAAGATGACACCAAATTTTAGGAGAGTGCATTATTACAACTATATCCCCCAAACAAACAATAAAAACAGAAATATGACAGTACTCATGTTGGTATGATGCTTGAACAAGCGATTTGTTTAAATTATTTGTTGGCCATCCAAGCTTGAGATACATTGATGCGACTTGTCTTAGAATATACTCCTGAGAGGGAAAAGAAAAATATATTTAATGTTAACATTTAATTTTTATTTGAAATTTAAGTACTACTGACTATTGATTTTTTTGTCTCTCTGTTTACCCCCAAATAATGTCTGACTTTCCAGAGATTTTGATTTGCATTTAGCAAAGCAAACATGTCCGCATCTCCTTCACTGCTACAGTGAGAAGTAATCTATAGGTCAGTTATTTGATTAAATGTCTAGGAAAAGACAATTTATTGTAGTAAACCCCATCAATTTAAGAAGAATTTCTTACACGCTATTTTGAATTCACAATACACGCCTGAAAAGTTGCAAGAGTGTTTACAGCTTAATTTCTACTCTATGGCAAATCTCAACTACACTGTGCATGTTCACTTTTAAAAGAATATTGCTTTAATATCTACAGCCATGTCAAAAATGTTATGCAAGTACAGTCAATTGACTTCAGAATACCGAACAATATGGCTGCAAATGAGCTTTGTACATTTAATGACGCCATGTTTTAAGTTTAGGCTCTTGGTGTGCTTAAAGAACAAAACAAACCCAAGATGTATTTTAGCTTACTTTTACTTCTTATACAGGGCACATATTTACATATTCTGGACAGTTGTGAAGAAAACCATTGTCATTGTATTCAGTGCAATCATTTGCCAGTGGAATTTACCACTTTGAAAAAGAGAACTGAGATATAAAGAACCACATAAGAGAGCATCTATTTTATTATTATGGATGCATGGGCATGTATATATGATGTCAACACAAAAGGAGATTCACAGAGCAGCTTTCTCTAGCAGATATGTTATTCTGTGACTAAAAAGAATTTTATTTCCTCTGCTATCACCTCTGCTTTCAAAGCTCTCATCAATAGTGATAAAACACAACCCAGCCATGAATTTTACTGGGTTTTTTAGTAAAATGGTGTTTTCTTTAGACAGCCACGTTAAAAGTGAAATAGCAATGGCAGACTCATAAGAATTTTTCTATGCAGCTAACAACTGACTAAACATGCAAGTTATTTCCACATCATTTTATATTATGGCTCTGATTTGCATGTAGGCCCACATAGTAGATTCATAAAGAAAGAAACTCTGTTTGTCTTTATCAATCTGTAGTATACATTTTACAAAAATAATGTCAGCAGGTAGCTCTGTATATGCATGTAATTCTACATATATACATATATATATAGCCAGCTCTAGCTTCCTGTTTTCTGACCGTATTTCTTTCTACACACATACACACACGAGCAAATGTATGTTTAAGAAGAAAAAAACACCTTTAAGCAACACCTGTAAGCATTTCAGGCTTTAAAGAGTTCCTTCATGTGAAGGCTTTACAAAATTGCATAAAATTACAGTACATTGGCCACTGAAAATATGTAGACTATATAAAATTCAAAGTGAATAAAAAACCTCCACAAGTTTGTAATTGTCACTGGCTGCAATCAAATCCTGTGTACTTCATCAAACATCCTTCAGCATAGCTAGGAATATTTTTTTTTTTATTTCAGGTAAAATGTTAAAATGTTTGTCATGTCTATCTTAATTATCCACTGCTAGGTGTTACTGCTGTCCCTTTGGACCCAATTATGAATGGGCTTTTGATTCAATGGTGATCTAATCCTTGTTAATTAAGGTAACTGCATTGAATTCACCATGGCTTTGTATTAAATAATGACTACAAATCTTTACTTCAGTTGCACGCATCCTGTTTGGTTGTGCCTGCATTTGGGGTCCTTGCTGATCTTGGGCATCAATCTAAATATCGCTGTGAGGCTCCTCAAAAGAGAAAATCTGGAAATAGATTACTTTGGCTCTTTTAAGTGAAATACTTTATTTGCCATAATATTTTATATAAGGGATAATTACCTTTCCTTCTGCTAATCATATATGCCTCAAACAACAGTTATCACTGTTCAAATGCAAATGAACTAAAGCTTGACAATTGCTATGTTTAAATAGAGAATAACTTGGAAGAAAGCTAATACCCCTAGGTCATTTACAGTATCTAACTGAGGAATAGTTCAGCTCTTGGCAATGAAAGGAGAGCCAGCAAGAGAAAGAAAGGAAAGAAAGGAAGAGTGGCGGCGGGGTGGGACGTGGGGGTAGAAAAGGGAGAGAGAGAAGGAAAGAGAAAGGAAGGAGAAGGAGAGGACGGAGGGCTGTATCTCTTACATTGAAGATGTTGTAGCTTTCTGTGCGGTCCAGCAATTTGTCTAGAGGATAAAGAGCTCGGCTGGCAGCATGCCAAGGCAGAAAATCCTTCTCCTCTGAAAGGTATCTGATAATCTCCAAAGGAATATTCTGAGGCAAATAACCAGCTCTGAAAAATAAAAGAAGTTAGTATTTAATAGTTTCTGCAGAGGATACATTATGAGGCAAAAATGACTTTTTTTTCCCAAATGAAATTAAAAGGTAGAAAAACATGATATACTCATCACATTATAATGACATAAAAGTCAACCTTATAAAAAGAAGTAACTTACAGTCTCTCCCAACACATATGCAAACATACTTATTGGATGAAGAAAGGCATGAAGGCACATGAAAGAAAACTGGACAAGCTATATCTACTTTTTATGGATTTCCGTGGCTACAAAAGACATGAACAATGAAGTAACTGACTTTAAGCAAAAAAACAAAAGTACTGCTTTGCCAATTTGTTAGTTAGAAAACTGTCTGCATAAAATCAACAACCCAAGGCATTTTGCCTCAGGGAACATTTCTACTGGCCATGGGTAATTGGGAAGAACAAATGGAGAAGAAGCATCCTTTAGTTTTGTTCTCCTCCCCACTCCTTTCTCCCTCCTTTAGAGCTGCCTTGTCTTCTATCCATCTTAAGCCTTTTTGGAATGACTTTTCTTTTATTAAACTGAAGTGGCATTCAGTGACATCACTTTGGTTAAAGATGTTTCTCTGCTTTCCACATAAATTATGTTCTTTTCAGATGTTCATAAGTCAATCAGAATTTTGCCCCATTCTTTTACAGTCATAAAAGACCTCTCCCTGTAAGGGAAAGAATTTAGCGGGGCTTCAGGCAGGCTTTTTAAATTAATAACTTTACAAGTAAAGTGCAATACAGACACAAGGATTTTAAAGCTGCTTTTTAAAACTGAGTACTGGAAACATCAAGTGTTAGGATTTGCTCTCATTTTCTTTTTCAGAACAGCATTTTTTCTTAACTATCCAGACTGCAGAAACAAAGTGCAACCCTGTGGGTGTGAACTTCCCAGAAACACATGTCTATTCCTCTCCTGATGCATGTGTTTAAATCCCAAAGGAGTTCTCCACCTGCCTAGAGAGGAGATAATGATTCTATTTTCATTAAACACAAAGTCAGCAAGTTGGATTCCACAAGCTTCAGTTTAACATAGGCTACAGTATGACATATATTCACAGACTATTTTTTCTGGTTGCAAATATTTCCCTTAATTTCCATCACTGTCTGGGGAAGAGATGCATGCATATAGCAAACAAAGAAAATTACACAGATTATTATGGAAATGAACCAATACATACATGTTGATATAAATTTTTATCTCAGTTGTAATAGCATACAAAAATTACTTGGCTGAAATATTTGAAATAGATTGTTCTTTTTGGTACAGGCCAAACCCATAGCTTCCTTGCAAGGTCACCACATCCATGTAAGCAATTGTTTTTCACACTCTCTAGTGAAAGAATTACACCCTGTTCCCTTTACATTCTCGGGAAAGAAGTGAGTTCATGTAATAGCTTTCAAAAGTATCTATCTCATGTCCTTATGATGACCTGCTCTCCAGTCTGCTTCATGTCATCTCTGTCTACATTTTGTCAGCAAGGCTCTGTTCTCAACTCCAGTTACAGCACATGCTCAAGCAGGAATAAGCAGCTGTGAAATGAGAATAGTGGAGCTCTCAGAGTGGGTAGCAGACAGAGTTCAATGCATCTGAAGACAAAGTTAGGGGTTATAGTTATAGGTCTTTCTTATTTCTGAAGAAGCAGAATATCATTAAGATGAGTTCTAGGTCTTAATACTTTGTAAAGATGCGTAACCATAATTAACAGGGCCAGAAGCAAGCTGGATTGCCTACAGTTAAAAAATCTTGGAGATTATGTTACCAAGGAGGTAAACTAGCTTGAAGTTGCATATATGTAATTAGTTCCTAATGGGATTTGTGATTATTGTTACTGATAATTTGATTGACATGAAAAAGCGTAGAGTAAGGAACAAGAGGAATAGCTCTAGGAAACATGCAGCTTAAGAAATAAACAGATGAATGTTTATTACAGCTGCACTAATGGACATTAGGATCATGCTTCCAAAATTAAATCACTCTACACTAAGCGCAAAAGGGAAATCATCACTGCAAAACAGATTATTTCTTTTTAAGCTTAACTTCTCCATAAAGACACAAAAGAAGTGAACTCAGAGCGATCCATCTCTTATTCCTGAGCTCTTGGCCATCCTAATCAGTTTCAAAGTCGTGATTCTTAGCTGATTATACTCATCCTGTTCACAATAAAATCTGTTATTCTCATAACTCATGGCTTCTAACTTAAAAATTTATCAGCCCATTCAAATCTGTCTGCCCCTTCCCCTGTCTGCCACTTTTCCTATTGTTTCCCTAAGGGCATATTCCTTTTCACAAAAACTGATCGTGGCAAAGTCGGAGTTTTTCCTGTTTACTTGTGAACTTCCTCCTCTATCTGGGTATGACCTTTGAAGAGTTTACGCACAGTATCGTCAGAATCAACCCCCCACAGAGAGACACCAGGGACGGGGATGAGGGGAGGTCCCTGTGGATGACATTATTATATAAATGACAACAAATTCATCACTTCAGATCATGATTTTGAGGGAAACTGTTTATGGCTGTTACGATCAATGTTAAATCCTGTCAGCACATGTTGGGCAGATGTGCTTCAAGTACAGCTGCTAGGCTGGATCTCTGCAGGAACTTGTGTAGAGACATGTTTAAATACTCTCACAGTGGCCGTTAAGATAGGAGGACTTCCCTGGAGAAAACAGAAGTGCTTCAGGAACTTTGTCTTGACAGAATGTTCTTTATATTCTACACTATTTTATAGTATGGATGCCCGCAGAAAACTATGACAGCCCTATTCTTTCACTCTCAGCCACTAAGCTACGTTTATAGCCTCTTATTCCAAATACACTGTGCTCCCAGACTATTTGCCATTGAATAATCTCTGTGAAGAAGTAGTGAGGAGTTCATTCACTGATTTACCTTTTGCGCAAAATATGACACATAATGTATATGTTATCAAATATTAAATGTATACTATAGCTTAAAAAGCTTGATGAAAATTTTCATTCACAAAAAAAGGAAAGAGTTTGGTAATGGTACAGCCAAATACTAAGGTTGCTAAATTTTGGCATTCATAGTTGAGAAAATAGGATATAAGGAGAAGCTCTCACTCTAAACCATAAAAGATATAAACCATGAACTGTAAAAGTCCTTAAATCCAGATCACAAATCTAGGACCTGTGTGAACTGTCCTGGGAGGTAGCATGACTACCATGACAACCAGGTCAGGAGAAGACAGAAACTACCCAAAGCAGAGTGACTGTGTGATGAGCTATGCGTTAGTATTCTGCATCTTCACAAAGCACAGCAGCTGGTTTCTTTAGCTTTGTATTTTAGTATAATCACATTCATTTACTTTACACTAAAAGCTCGTCCAGCGCTGAGTGATTTCAAGATTCCTCTTTCCCAGAGGATACTGCATCCAACAAGATTTATTGGCTCACTTGAACAGTGGCAAACTCATTCAACAGCAAAGGGATTGCTGGCATGCTTCTAGGATTCTCCCTCACTAGCCTGGGACAACCAGGTTCAAAGATGGTTACACAGGACGTGGTCAGCAAAAGCAAAATTTTTGCTTTCAGCAAAGTAGGAAGGGATGGTCAAAGATTCAGGAGTGTCACAGGACTTGTGACAAACATACACCACCATCTGGCTGACAACTGCTAAGTAAAATCACTTATGTCACTTATGGAGCAGGATAATAAGCAAGATGAGGAAAGAAGACAGAAAACAAGATGAGTCTATTCTGAGCATCTCTGTGAACTCTGGTGGAAGAACACAGATCCGTAGAAATGCTAGACAGAAATGCTGAACAATTAGCATTACAATAATAAGAAAAGTAACAGTAGCAAGATTCCCATCAAAGGGAAAAATGTAAAATAATTTCCCTGTCACATAACTGCCTGGAAATATTTACTTAAATAACAGAATATAACATAAATTATACATAACAGTGTATAACATAAGTTAAGCACATATTCTACACATGCAGCTCGGTTTATCACTCTCTCTTCCAACAATGTCACTGGAAGGTCAGTGACAGAAATCCTTATTTTTCTTGTGTCTTTTTAGCCATCAATCATATTGCTATCCTTAAAGTCCAGCAAAAGTACTATCAGATATTGCTTGCCAAAGTCCAAAGGCACGAGAGCCAGGGCTAAGAGATAAAGTTCTTTTTCAGCTTAGCCATCTCAGAGCAAAATTGAAATATTGTTTGTCACTCAGGGAATAACTGATTACAGACTATCCTGAAACCAGGTAACAAACAAACAGGGCAGAAATACTGTGATGTCCGATTTTATGTCTGGTCTGAAACAGTGACACTGTTTCTCCAGTAGCAACCTGAGAATCTTAGCAGGCACATATCTACAACCAAAAAAATTCTGCAGAGGAATCTAGGATAGTCTTGGTAAGTATCTTAACAGATAAAATCGTCAAATCACAGTGTTGGTTCATGAAAAGTGGTTGAATGCATACTGATGTTCAGGTTAAGTATTTCTCACATGCAGGTTAAAAAGTTTACAAAACTTCACCTATAACATCTGGAATGCAAAGGCTGGAAGACACCTTAAGGACTTATCTAGTCCTTCCCCTACCCAAAGCAGATCCACACCAATGCTAGTTCTGACAGAAATTTGTCCAGCTTATTTTATATAGACCTCTAGCAGTGGATATTCTAGGAGCACTAGAATTCCAGCATTCCCCTTCTCAGGACATGATAATAAGAATATTATACATCTGGCCTTTTGCACTGTAAATATTCATAGAAGAGTACCAACAGATCCGTTTCATGTCCTAAAATGAATGTTGCTTATGTAGCTTTAGCATAAGCTACAAAAAGCAGGCACTCCCCTCTTTACTGTATTCTAGATTAGAGGGTTTTGATTGACATCACTAGTGAAACAGCCATCTTTTAAGCCAGATGACTCCACACCGAGTCATTTAAAAAACATGACTACAAAAGCAAAATTTAACAAAAAAGATCATGCTTGATGCACTTCATTGTTTTATTCCT